GAACGCAGTTACCCTTTACAAAAGACGGCAACTCAAATGAAGGGGGCATTTTAACTATGTATATACTTTACTTAATTTCGTCAACTTACTATTTAATTCACATTGTCAATGTAAACACTTCATTATTGACTAAATCACGAGGGAAATGGCAATAGTATTGTTAGGCCCAGCTGTGTCCCTAAACCCCGTGTTACAATAGTTTTGTTGGCTCGCGCTTGAACCAAGAAGGAAGTCGAGTTGTATCTTAAACCCAAAAGATTGACTTCCATGCAAACATTTTGTTTCTCAAAAAAGGAGGAGTGGTTTATTTTTCATATTTGTCGATAACCTCTTTTTATTGTTACACGTGAGTATTTTACTGTAGAACGAGCACCCAAGGCCACTGTAGGAAGTTACAGCACATAACGGGTGACTCGGACGTGTTCTGTGTTCCACTGGAGCCATTGTAAAAGTGGTAATGCTGATTTATTTGTCTCCAGTCACTATGGAAGAAGTACAGCATGGCAGCAATGGCACTGAGTCACAGTCTACTACCATTCCCACTACCATCACATCCGCTCAGTTTTCACAGATAGCCCAACAGGTAATGGATCCCAGCAGTAAATAGTATACCAAACATTGACAAACTGTACCACAGTTTGTCAACAGTTTGTCAATGTTGTGTGCTTTTTAAACTAGGCTGCTTTCTTCGTGACAGTTTTCTGTAATAAAAACACCTTAGATATCTGGTAGTGTCAAAATCTTGACATATAATAACACAACTATGAGTCCAATAAATGAAGTCTGCTCAGTCTTGTTTCAGCAGTTGTCTCTTTGTAGAGGTGTTTGAAAATATGCCAGTGATGGGATATAAATCTGAGCTCATTGTGTAAACTATCCTTCTAAATCCTTTGTTGTGCAGGCAGACATGGCGTTGAATCATTAGTTTACATTGCTACTATGTCTTCTGATGGTTTGTTGTCACACTGTTTTGGCAGGAAGGAGTCTTTGTTTTTCTGTGACGTTTTGCATCAGGAAATTAATATTTGCTTATATTAAATTTGCCAAGTGTTTTTATATTGTGTTTTATATTACTTGTGTGAACTTGATGAGAAGTCTTTTTTGTTTGTCTGTTACCTCTTGACACAAGAACCTTAGAGGTGACCTCACTGCTTACAAGCATCCAAGACTGCAATACCTTCCATTCTCACTTCACTGTGATCTGCACTAATGCAGCTGAATCTAGACTGGTGTTCTCCTTAAAGACCTCATTGTCCAGACCATTCAGACCATATCAATAAGGCGTGTGCAGAAACAACTTTAAAATGTCTGCTTATGAAATCAACAGTTATTTTTGATGGTCATATTTTGAAAGAGTACTGTCTTTTAATTCCACTTGTAACTGTAACTGTAAAATCATACTCGTACTCAGAGTAAGCAATAAGACAGCTGTATGTTTTCACTACAGTAAGTAACTCAACCAGTGGCAATAGTGGGGATGTGCTCTTCCTTGCAAAATCCCAGATTATTATATATTATTATTTAAAAATGACGATCCAAAGCACTACCAGTGGTAGGAATACCATGAGTTTGAGAAGCACTGTCCTCGATATATAAAAGGACCATTGTCATATCATCAAAAAGACCTCTGTTCTCACAAATTGTTCTTGTTTCTTGTATCTCAAATTGGTTAGTTCTTAACTCATTTGATTACAAAACGAGCATAATTTTGCTTTTCCTCTTAAACATATACATACTGTAGGATAAATATTTCACATGGCTCTTTTTTCCAAAGTAATCAAAAATGCCAAAAGCGCATTACATTAGACACTTAAACTGTCTGATATTTCAAATGTTAAAAAGTGTTTAGCACTTTTTAACTTTGTGGTTTTCTAGTATTTTGGATTAAATCTGTGTTTCAGCTGAAGCTCCAGGTTGTGTACATATCATGACAGTGGTTGTTGACTCAAGGCTGTAAATCTGTGAACACACAAATCATTGACATGTTGTTCATGGCTTAAAAAATGATGTCTGGTTGGAACTGTTTATGTTGGAGAGATAAATTATGTTGGGAAATACATTTTTAGTTTTTTGTGCCTTGTGATTATTTCTGCATTATAGAAAAATATTAGAAATCAGAAAATAATTCTCTAAAACACATCTCAATGATGGTTTCTAATGATTTGTATTTTGGTAATTCTTAAAGCATGAATCCCTAAACCAGTTTGTTGCCTGATGTTGTCAGTTGTTTTGTGGTAGTTGGCATCATCATTCTGCATTATTAACTAATTATAACATTAAATTAAATAATAATTTGGTGTTTTACAGGTTTATGATATTAAATTTTAAGAACAAAAACAAAGATTTAAACATGTGATGTTGTGTTTTTTTTTTCTTCAAATGCTTGTTTTGCAGATGTCGCTAGGTGGTTCTTCTGTGGCTGTGGTGCAACTTCCAGGTGGTCAATTTCAGGTTCAAGGAGTGATCCAGTCTGCGCAATCATCAGTCATTCAGTCCCCTCAGGCACACAATGCACAAGTTAGACCAGCTGCTTTTCCTTGGCACCTCTTATTTCTATGCAATGACTTTTTTACATACTAATCACATTTCCTAATTTAAGAACCAGGGCACAGATAGTGATGACTCACAAGATTCTTCAGACAGTGGAGCAACAGGCCATAAGACCAGAGAAATATTGGCCAGGCGGCCCTCGTACAGGTAAACCTAGAGCAAATCTTTTTTTTTTTAAACAGTTTTGAGGACTTTGTTAATTCTTCTGTTTTTCGTCTGCAGAAAAATCCTAAATGACCTCTCTTCTGAGGAGGTAGCACACATTGAGGGAAAGTTAAATAGTCCAGCATCCACAGGAATGACAGGTGTTACAGTACCCACCACCCCCATCTACCAGACCAGCAGTGGACAATACAGTAGGAACATTTCTCTTCCATGTCTCGGTTAAACATTCACACTTTTAGTGATTTAACCCACTAGCTGGATTCCATTTGTTAAACACTTTTTTATTTCTAAATCAACAGCAACAAATCCTAAAAAACAATCGGGTGAAGAACCTTTCTTGTTCACATCTCTCGTTTCTTTGACTTACACTATTTAGTGGTTTGGAAGTTGCAATTGCTGATTAATAACATTTTTGTTTTGTAAGTCAAATGTTGTTAAATGTTAACCTAAATACAGCTTTTGCTTTTATGTCATTTAAGAAAATGCATCAACTTTTTTGGAAATGTCTTTTTATGTGGCCTTACAATTGACTGGCAAAATATCCAGGATGTTCCCTGCTTTTACTCGTTGCATAAGAAAATTAGTAAAAATAACTTTAATAAAGGTAAATTTGCATGTTACCATGATCATCTCCTGCATTGGCTTACCTGAGCATTTACAAAAATAATATATATATTTTTTGACAGCCCCAAAATGATGCTTTAGCCGTTAGAATCTTCACCGCTCAATGGTTGTCCTTTGTTATTTCTAGTAACAATTGCAGCTAATGGAACAATTCAACTGGCTGCTCCAGGATCTGAAGCCATTCAGGGGCTGCAGGCTGTGGCTAATGCAAGTGGAGGCCAGCAAGGCACTACCATCCTTCAGTATGCCCAGACCCCCGATGGTCAGCAGATACTGGTGCCAAGCAACCAGGTCGTTGTACAAGGTGAGTGCTTGACACTGACTTTCAGAGTTTGCACAGTCAAACAAATGTAGTGATTTCCACGCTCTTGTGTCCTAACCTGACATTAATAACATGACAAATCACTGTGAAGTAAGACCCAGTTGAACTTTCCTCAGTGCCAGTCATGTGGGACTGATTTATCACATGACCTTATTAAATATGTTTAAATAATGTAAAAAAAAAAACTGGAAGAGAAACTATTTTCCCGTTATTGCTTTCTCTCTCAGGTGCAGGGGGAGAGGTGCAGACATATCAGATTCGTACAACTGCTGCATCCAGCTCCCTGCCTCAGACTGTGGTCATGACCACTCCTGTCGGACTGTCCCAGGGCAAGTCTGATGACCCAACAATGAAGAGAGAAATCAGACTTGCAAAAAACAGGTAATACCTTTACCTGCCACTGAAGCTTTTATTTCTGTCTTCTCTCTTCTTCTTCCAGCTCTTGTATTCAACTCAATAACTTGTGTCTTACTCACTTGTGTAACGCAAGGTATGATAGAAATGTAAACAGATCCAGACGTACTTCCTCATAGTCAGCAGGGCACTTTCTGGTTGTTGCCATTTTTTATTTAGAACTGACCTTCATTTTAAGGTGTGTAACGCTGCACACGTCTCTGAGTTAAATCAATATTGAGTTAAATCCGTATTCTGATCATTTTTCTATAACACCTTATTTCCTTTTCTTCTTTTTTAGAGAGGCTGCCCGTGAATGTCGACGGAAGAAAAAGGAATATGTTAAGTGTCTGGAAAACCGCGTTGCTGTTCTTGAAAACCAAAACAAGACCCTGATAGAAGAACTGAAGACATTGAAGGACCTTTACTGTGATAAATCAGGATAACCGGTTTGAAAGCAGGTCAGGGATTGAGACCTAATGTGGCAGCAGTACAGCTCAGCCATTTGGACATATTGGGGTTTCTGGGAACACTTCGTTTCAGGCTGAGATCCTCTTTTTTTTGTACTCTGTTTGATACAAGACTTCAAGACAAGATTTACTCAGCAAAATAAGAAAAGGAGAAATTGGCCATTTTCTCACCTGCTGATTTTTTAAAAAAATGATTGCTGATTCTGTATGTATAGTTGTGTACATTTTTAATACTGGCAGGTTTGAAATTATGAGCTTTAACTATGACTTTCTGTTTCTACTTGTATCCTTGTTCATTGGTGTTTGCCATAATGTCGCTGTTGAACTTTTGTTTCTTCTAACAACATCTGCAAAATTCTGCCTGGGACATAACGTCAGACAGAATATTTGTTTATATCGCAAACCAGCAATTCTCATTTACAATTGTCATTCCTTATTTTTGTGCAATGGAATATCAAGAGTAACGGTAAACATGACATATAGTGTGGTTTGTTAGGTTCTTTCTCGACAGTTACTTGTAGACAATCAGGGAAAAGCACAGTGTCCAGATAATATTTATTATGTTCATCTCTGGAGGAGAGGGAACAGAACAAACCGTCTATGAATTGTTGCTCAGTTGAAAAGAAAATAAATATATTTTCACTCAAAATATACAACACAGTTAATGTTTTTGTTAATTAAAAAAAACATGGACACAGTGCAAAATGCCATTACGATAGTGTTATTGGCAATCATTTAATAGAGTATCCCATAATATGTGGTCTTATCATCATGGCAACATTTGGAGCCTCAATTTGCTTCAGGTGAAGTTTAGAGAAACCGGCAGCTTCTAGATCTCTCCATGTTGCTCTGGTAGTCCTGCATCCATCCCCAAGGTAGTACCACAGAGGTTCCAGCACATGCTGAAAGAAGAACGTCCAGGAGAACGGTTCAGAGACGACGTGCTCCAGAAAAAAGAAGGCTCCACCCTGAAAGATAAAGCAGCAAAAAGCTGGTCAACTGAATGCATTTCTATATCGTTCTTATTGTCATCCTGAAATTAAATGCTGTCATTTCACATTATCAAGAAAATAAACATCAATACCTGACAAGTCTTAAATGTAATGAGAAAAAAAACCCTGTGCTATATATTTTTTTATATATATTATATATGTATTTATAAGTATCTATATGTATGTATACATACATACATATATATGTATATATATATAGAAATACAAACACAATACATTCTGCCTAAGTCATCACTATCATGTTTGCCTGGGCTGGGCTTGTGTGTATTAATGCACGAAGTGCTCTTTCAAACGACTCACTGTGCGCACATGCGCACAATGCGTCGATGTCGAATTCGCGGGAAACAGCTACCGATGAAAAACTACTTCCGCTTCCGATGTAAACAACATGTACACATTCGTATCGCGTCGGCTGAGAATTTGATTGTCGTGTTTTGTTTGTTTTAGTTTCCGTGTTGCAGATGTTTGGTGAGAACGACATGGGAATCGTGAAAAGATCGGCCGCTTGTTCGCAATTGGTAAGTAATTCCCATATTGACGTGTTGGGTTTGTGCTTTGAAATGGGGGCTAGGCTAAAGTTTGTTTCTGAATAGAGTTTATACGGAGTATTTGTTTGTTAGCGTAGCATAGGGGTGTGTGGGATACCACGAAACATTCTCGTTGTTGCTATGCAAAGTTTAGAATACAATTTTAAAACAAAACTATGTGAAACAAAAAACTAAGTATGTGCTTTGTGGCGTGGAACTGATCTTTTTTCGGTATGTACTTTAATATCATTAGTAACAAAGTTTTTATTGAAAACAGTGCAGTGATGAATATTAACTCACTAATAATTTATTATCCGATACGCGTGAAAAGTTTGTTTTACCGTAAACAAGCCACGTTCACTTTTAATTTACACATAAAATGTTCTTTTGTAGCAAAGTACTTCTAAAGATCACTGCATTTATAATTGATGATTTTTTTTAAATTGAGGTTATTGGCAAAAAGTTGTCTTGTGTGTTAATTTGTTCATTTCTATATGGTTTTCTTTGACTACAGTGTGAAGAGTGAGACTGACTGTTCTAAGGATGCGGCGGACCTCCTGCAGAACTCCCTGCACATCTTTGACAGAGCAGAGGACCAGTGTGGAGACGACGACGTCCACGGACTCGTCCTGCACTTCCTTCATGTCCTCCCCCGGCGTCACAATGAACTCGTCGTAGGTCAAATGCTGGTTATCGTCCATACTCAGCCGTAAGTACTTATGGAAGTGCGGGTTGGGGTCGGTGCAGATCACCGTGCATCCGTACGGGTAGAACTTGAAGTTTGCACCGCTGCCGCAGCCGATCTCCAGCAGACGCAGTGTCCCGTCGGTATTTGCAAATGTGCCCACGTTTCTGAAGAGCTCTCTCTTAATCCGGTGTACTTTGGCGTTGTATGAAAATGTTATGTTGTAGGCGAGAAATGGGAAAAACCGTTTGTAGGCACCGTAAAAACCCGTGATCTCCAGAAGATGTAAAGGCAGAGTCAGGGCCACGACGAGGAGTCTGCAGAATTTCATCAGGAAATATTTCATTTTCTTTGGAAGGTATTCAACAGAGCCTCGGGGGGGATCAACAGATTATAAGAACGAACGACCGTCGCTGTTCTGTCCTTCCACCACAAGATGGCGGAAATGGTCTAGAGTGTGACTAAAAGGTGCCCTCTCGTATGTTTAAGGTCAGTCCGGGAGATTTAGGTAAGATGTGAATAATGGAATATGATGTATTTTAATCTTATTTTAATATATGGTAGTTCTACACCTATTCCCTGAAGATGATGTAACTTACACACCAGCTTTCCTTGGTTGTTGTGTGGATTATCAACAAATGTTTATTTCACCATCCTTATCCATCCTTATCCAAATGTTTAATCAGTGCAGATTAAACATTTGGAGCCTGAATACACTCAGTGCAGATTAAACATTTGGAGCCTGGAATGTGCAGCGAAGTAAACAGGCAGTTTTCAGTGAAGGCAGGTATAAAGTGAAGATTCTACGGTGGTGCTTTGAGGGTATCGTGTTGTAGAGTGACCTGCCAACACTGCCAGACACACAAGCGATGCATTGTGGGTTGAATGTTGCCAGGCTACAGATAGGGTTGAATTCTTGGTCTGACATTTATAGAAAGGTGTGTCTGGGCTGCATGTAGCCAGTAGATCAAGATTTAAATAGGCTGGATTTAGGTCACATAAAAGTATACTGTACATATATTTATACCTAGATTATTTTAAAAAGGAAAACTTGCCTATGTTATTTAAACAAAAAATAAAATGTCAATTAAAGACAAGATGACATTTAATCAGACATTGAATATGTTTTTTATTTATTTTGTACCTGCAGGTATGTTTGTTCAAGCGGACACATGTCACTAGCACTGGTTCTCATCACCAGTGATGCCTTTAGAACATGCTAGACACACAGCATTAAACAGTGTAGTATTTGTTTTATGTTTAATATTTAACAGTTACTGACCAACAAGATGAATTTCTAATCAGATTTAATCAGTTAAACTCTAACTTATTAGTCAAACATTTCAAGAACTGCGGTACTAGTCAACTATCTATGTAGGTTAAAGTGCTTTCATTTCAACAAGGTGCTAATTTAAGCATGACTCTGCAAAACTAAAACAAACACTGCAAGCCGATAATATCAGGCCTGTTTTTCAAAGCTGATTAAAAAAAAAGAAGCTTTTGAAGTGACTCATCTTTGCATCTTGGACCCAAATCAGTGGTATCATTAGTTATTATTCTGTTACCCAATAAAGTGAACCCAATAATCATGTTTAGATGAAAAACACTGTCAATAACACTATATATTTCTGAGCTCTGAAACTTTTTTGATTTCTTATAACCACTTCCTAAAAAAGATGCAAAATAAGTATAGACAAAAAGAAATACTGATTTTCTTCCCTCTTCAAACTAAAATTTGTATCAAATTGAGTGAGTCACGTAAGTGCACTTTTTTTTGTTTTTTTTGTTTTTACAGAAGTTGGGCTTTGGTTGCATGGGCTCTTCAAACACATGGCAGTGATGGAGGGAAACTATCAAACCACTCAAACAGCAGCTATTTCACAGCATAGCCGACGATGTGGGGTTTGATCAGAGAGAAGAGCGGAGCGTCGATGTGCCTCAGTTTCAGCTCCGAGAAGCCAGCCGCCTCCAGGTGTTTCCACGTTTCACGAGTGATCTGGCATCCATCGCCAAAGTAGTACATTATGGGCTGACAGACGTGCTGGAAGAAGTGTATCCAAGTGGAGGGGTCTGCAACCACATGCTCCATGAAAAAGAAGGCGCCGCCCTGTAAAAGGAAAATACCACCACATTTAAAAAAATCTGAACACTTCCGTGCATGCTGGAGACATTTGTCCATGCATTTTGGACGTGGTTTTATATTTCATCCTGTCAGCAAGGTAAAACAACATTTGATCTGAAACGAATAAATAGATAAGAGGTCATTATGATGCAATATTTTCACTCTTCTCATAAAACACAACTTTATTACTACATGTCTACTGAACCATTTCGTTGTCATTATGGTGTCGTTTAAAGGCTACATGAAACAGTTCGGTAGCAGTCTTTATTATTATTTTCTTTATTTGTTTTTACTTACAGGTCAGAGGCCCAGGGAGTCATTTGTGGAGCTTGAACACTTGGTCCAGGTAGAAACCAGATTTTAAATACTATCAAAACATCACAGGTCTAAGGGCAATCACTCACAGGTTCACGTCCTGTAATTTGTTTTTCACCCAAAGATGTCTTCTCTGTAGATGTTAATGTGAGGCTGAAAGTATTACCTATTGGTCTTCGACAAACTGACCAAGTTATAACCACTGAGAATCAAACTGCTCACTTTCTTGCAGTAAGGCAAGGGCAGTAACCACTTGACAACCGTGCAGCCCAGTACAAATGATCAGATTTGTGTACATCGTTTTAAATAACGTTAACTGAACTGTTTGCACTTGTTAAAAGAGAATCAACAATTCTTTACTTCAGCTGCACCTCCCCAAAATGTCTGTTCACGCCCCTGAGGCTGTTGACTACAATAACTCCCAGTAGGAAATCACAGAACACTCACAGGTCGCAGTATACGGTGTACTTCTCGCAGAGTTTGGGGGGTGTTGTTGACGGAGCACAGAACCAGAGTACAGACGACCGCGTCCACAGACTGGTCCTCCACTGCGCTCAGGTCCTCTCCAGACGCCACCAGAAACCTCTCGTACATCAGGTGGTCGTTCTTGTTCATGTTCTGACTCAGATACTTCTGGAAGTGGGGGTTCGGATCAGTGCAGATCACTTTGCTCCCGGGCGGGTAGAACTCAAAATTTGTGCCGGTACCGCAGCCGATTTCCAGAATCGTCAGGTGTCCGTTGTTTTTATTTAACTCTGGCAAAGTGCGAAACAGCTCCTTCTTCTTGTCGTGCATTTTCTCGTTGTACTTTTTGGAAAGGTGATGTAAACACAACGGCATGAAGCGTTTGTACACGCGGTACAGACCGAGCGCGTCCAACAGGTGTAAGGGCAGAAACAAGACATTAACCACCGTCACACACACCTTCATCAGGAGAGACATTTTTGCAAACTGCGCTGTTGATCCACAGACGAGTGCAATGGCTGTCCTTATCAACGCCACACACCCACCTGCGCATGCGCGCTTTATCCCAAATCGCCGCGAGATTTAGACTGCTCGAACTTCAGAGTGCTGTCCACGTATTAATAAATTCCTCGTTGTAAGTAGTCGCATCAAAAAAGTGAGAGGGAATAATCAAACGTAAAGTGAATAGAAGAGTTGGATATAATATATTTTTTCAAATTATTCAAATCGAATATTTAATATCAAATTTAAATAATAAACCCAGGAGGTTTCCGATATCAAATCAAATCCGGAAATGATCATTCGTCATGGATATGGAGATTACATGTGCAACGTTTGATGCTGCTACAGTAAAGCAGAGCAAAGCTACAGCAGCTCTGGTGAAGACATACCTGTGCACTTTGTGACTTGATATTTTTTGGCACGATCTAAAAAAAACACAAATCTATTCAAAGTTACATTGATACATTTTGTAAAACAGAAAGACAATACAACTTCTCTCTCAATATGATTTCGTCCCAATCTATAAAAATACACTTAATATTTTCATTTTAGCCTGTGCCCATGTATGTAGGCTCTGCAACTACACATTACGATGTGAATTTTATTTTTATAACTGAAAAAAATTATATCTGCACTTTGGATCGTAGACAAGTTTTTCATTTATTATTCTCCAACCCAATACACACGTTCAGATGAAAAATGTATTAAAAACAGTCCTACATAATTTCCGAGCTTAATTATTACATAAAAAAAGTCACATCGAAACACTGAGCAGGTGTACAGTTTTTTGTTTTTTTTTTGTGATTTGTATCGAACAGTTCTTCTTTCAACCAGCAGAGTCACTTCCTGTTAGTTCACTGCTATTTCCGGTCTGCTTCCTAGGGTTCAAGGTCCAAAGGTCCATTTTCTAATCAATGAAGAACGTCACTGACGGAATAGATGTCTTCAAAGTCATATTCAGTAATTATCTGTTGGTAAAACACTACTTTTTTTTACATAAGTACTTTTTAAAAATGTATATTTTAATCAGGGCGATCAATTTCCTGTTTTTTTATAGGTGTATATTAATACCAGTAATTCTCAAGAAGGGGTTTTCGTCTATGATTAGTGTATGATTTATACACGGTGCCCGAATTTTTTTTTTTTACCACAGCAGTAGAAAAAAAAAAACAACCCAATATTTTTGCTTATTGTTAACACAACCACAATTAGGTTCTTGTTATTACATGAACACTGCGTGTGTGAGAGAGAGAGAGGGGGCGAACGAGGGAGAGAGAGGGGGAGAGAGTGTGTGTGTTTTCTGCTTACGATGCTGCGGTCTCTTGTCCGTTAGTGAAACTAAAGGCATTTACCGACACTCCCTAACAATTTGCTGAGAGTCATCAATTATGCAGGGTAGCCGCACGCACTGGGAAGGGAGATAGCAGCAACAATATGGCGACAGCCGCAGTTTCTCTCGACTCTTTTCTACATCTGCAGTTCACTCACACCTCTCTGGATTTCTGTTGAGGCGAGAAAAAGTAAGTAGACTATCCGTGTTTTACATTGTCTGGTGTTTGTCAGTGGCCGAATGGATGGTAGTATCACTTAGTCGACTGACTGCATCCCAGTGCCGCAGAGCGGTCCCTCTCTCTCCCGCTCTCGCTCTCTCTCGCTCTCTCTCTCTATAGCGTCTGTGAAGGGCTCTCTGCCAGTACATGCACACACATCTGTACATGCCAGGCGTCAGTGACAAGTCAGGGAGCTGTGACTTTCAAAATGCACCTTGCGATGCGACACGGTGAAAAGCCCGTCGAGGGATGCTGGTGTGTTTGGGGTGTTGGCCTGCAGCTGGAAGGGATGACATTTGACTGTGTTCAAATACACATCATCCGCATAGGATAAAGGATGTAAAAGTGACATCACAGCAAAGTTCTGTCGGCGGCCACACTCCGACTGCACTTAATGCGTGCAACTGGCTTACATGCATGATGCTCTGCACGCACATGAATAACAAAAATAATTATAAAAAAAATTGCGTGTGTCAACGTCCTAGGATGCTGTTATTATTATTATTATTATTTTTTACAATCATAGTTTCATACCCCCGCCCCCACATGCCACCCCTGTCTTGCCACCTCTCTGGAGACTGTATTGCGTTTGGAGGAAGGTGCGTCTTTACTTTGGCAGCTCTCACCGAGGCCTCCCTACCCCCCACCCCCTCCACCATCCCACCCCCTCCCCCTGCTTTTATTTTTCACGCAGTGTCCCCATCCCCAGTATGTTGGTCTTCTACAGAAACTGCATCTTCCAGACTCTGTGAGCTCCATCCACACGGGTGTGGTAGCTCACGGCCCCCAGGCCTGTACAGTTTATAATCTGTGTCTGTGTATAAATAATTTGGCTTGTTGGAATGGAACCAGGATGTGCTGATGTGCTTTGACTCAGAGCTGCAGTGTGGAGTTGTCAGGACACAGCTCTGTGTATTCAGCTGACCTACTATGAGTTAGTTTTTTTTTTTTTAACTTAGTTTGAGCCTATAGCAGCAATAAACCACACTGCAGTATTTTAGGCTTTGGCCCTATAGGCACGCCTCGGTGTAGAAGAGTGCACTTTACCAAGGTTTCAAATCGCTCTTCGTCAATGAAGAACATTTGCATGATGTAGCATACAGTGTGAAAGGGAGAGGATAGTCCTCAGCAGAGAGAGAGAGAGAGAGAGAGAGGGAGAGTTCTATCAGGAAATAAGAGATAGTTGTCTCTGCTGTTGGCTTTTTTCCCAAAATTCACATTTTCTGCCCTGATGCCTCTGTCCTCGTCTGTCCTCTGAAAACACAACAGCATTTGACACGAAAATCCTGACAAACAGATCTCACTCTGACGGAAATTATTTTGATTATTTATGACAGTGGGGATCATTTTCCTTTTAGATTGTGACTAGTAAGATCCCCTTCAGTTCTATTGGCGCTTGTTATTTGTCTATTTTTGATCGCTGTTGCTGCCTGGATGGGTCAGTTTAAGGTTTTGTTTTTTACCTTAAATTTGGGATGAATACACAGTCACAATCGAATTATTATTGTGTGAGTATATTCAAAGGTTGCTTTCACTTTCATCACAGAAGTCATATGAGATACCTTTATATATCTGTAAAAGTTACACATTTATCTGGAATATTAAGAATTCTATTTCAGGAAATGAAAGATGTTTCTTTCTTTTCTTTCTCTCCCTCCTTTTCTACTTTTCCTTCCTTTCTTCCTTCCTTCCTTCCTTCCTTCCTTCCTTCCTTCCTTCCTTTCTTCCTTCCTTCCTTCCTTCCTTCCTTCCTTCCTTTTTTGGCTGGCCCATGTGACTCTGATGTACATGCCCCATCCATACACCCCTTCCTCCTCTCTGTAGCAGACCGTGCTGGGTCGGTCCCGTCAGATCTTAGGTCTTCGTCAGAGTGTTCAGAGGTTCAGGGTCTTTTTTTTTTCTTCTCTCTCTCTCTCTCTCTCTCTCTCTCTCTCTCTCTCTCTCTCAGTGATAGACACTTCTGGGTTTTTCACCGCTGCACAGCAGATGCAGCATCCGTTCAGTTTGCTACATGCTGCTGCACTGGCTCCAGCCTTATCTTTGTCTCTGACGGCAACTGAAGCTGCTGTATTTTTCCTCCCTTCGGACTAACTTGGCTCGGATTTTTCCGGACGGAGGGATTTTGGCCAGAGGCTACGTGAGCCAACGGGATTTAATGTGATTATTCTGAGTGATCACAACAGACTTTTCAATTAAAATGAATAAGTCTGATGTTTGAGCTGAAGCTCGTACGCAGTGATGACCGGAGTTAATGAACATTAAAAGCTCAGCAGTTTGTTCTGGTCACCCGTCAGGTCAGCTGCCTGGTTTTTAGGGACTGTCCCAACATTGTGTGTCAAGTTTTTTTTTTCTGCCCATGGTTGTGCATCATGGTGTGAATCACCTTGACGCTAGATCAATTGATGTGGCATCGCTGGAAGGAGACTTGGAGGTTGTGCCGAGGTTGGGTTACCTGAAATGGAATTCATTCCTCTTCTGTTGCCTGCGACTGCTTTTTTCTAACGTAGCTGGATCTGTGTCTTTCTCTCTGCCGGTGGGATTTTCTCCTTCTGTCTGATTTATTTCCAGGTCTGTAGCACTGCCATTATTTCCTTGAACCTTGCTGATACTGTCTAAATTTGGATTGCCTGTTTCTAAACTGCGACTCGACTGTAAAATGTGATGTGGCCGTCAGTCAGCAGAGGGAGCCTGCAGAGAGGCATAACGTTCATAGCAGCAATTCTCAGGGAGAAACAGCAAAAATAACCCAGGACAGGTCAATATGACTGATGATGTATTTATTGAAGTAGTAAATATCAGTCTTGAGTAAGTGAAGACTAAGTAAGTATCAGTCTTGATCATGATTAGATCTGATTAATCCACAGAATTGGGATCTATCAGATTCAATTTTTTTATTGACAATGGATGTCCTGTAGATGTCTAACTTGTTTTTGAATTAGAAACAACATGTTTATTGTATAAGAATGAAACCTTCCAGTGTGAATTTGTTATAGCAGCTCTTTGTTTAAGCTAACAGCAGCACACAGGAGCAAAGCCTGCAGTCTTTGCAGTATGTGCAGTCTGAGACAAGCCTACAAGTTGTGACTAAAAATGCAAAAAAGCTTAAATCATCATTCTGTTTTTATTTCGTATTAAATATAAACTGATTTATGATGCTAATTGTTACACTTACGCCATCATAATGTCGGCTTATTATTATTGTTGTATTCAATATAGACTACAACAGGAGAGGTCACTGTCTGTCAGACTTTTTTTTTTTAACATAATATATTTATGGACTGCAGGCAGGTCTGTCTTCACTGCCACACTTTTATAATTCTTGCTGAACGAGGCCTGGCAACGTTCAACTGAAATGTCCAGCAGGGTGTGGGTGAAGTCGTCGTCTCAACGGGAGCATGTCCCCCTAAAAACTCAAGCATAGACCCCCCTAGTGTTGGAACCTTAAAGTATATGCTGTCCGTCCCTCATGGCTATCACAT